GTTTCTTCTGTAGGGGAAAGTAAATTTTATACATCCTAACCTGACCAGTCTGTGGCGACAGCACTAGCCATGCGGAACCAAATCTTCTGGCTCACACGACTCTCTGTCTACTCCGATGGTAAAACACAGAGAGCAGTGACATTATTTTTAGCTACTGTGGTGGTGGTCGTGGTAGTAGTTGTACTGGTACTTTTTTGAAGGATGATGTGGTAAATATTACACTAGCCCCATTCACTACTACCTATTACAATTCCTGCTCCCCATTTTAGTCTCAGATGGACAGGGATGTCAATGTCAGTTACAGCAACAAAAAAATATCGCCAAGATAGTGATTTTCAAATCCTTCGAAGAGGGAGAGAGCAGTAGTCGGTGAAGAGGGGAGGGGGTAAATTACTTAAATTTAAGAGAACTTAAAGAGCTTTACACGTGATTTTCAAGTTCTCATTACCTATTTTGTTTATATTTTACTAACGCTACCTCCGCTTTTCTATTTTTTACGACTTACTCTGTTATTCACAAGTACAGTTGTAGCTTTACTTCCGTCCCCTATAAAAATACAAACAGCTTTAGCATGTGATAACCAAAAAACCATTTTTGTTACTGTGCTTATAACAGAATTTAAACGACCACTAATATAAAGACACAATTATAAGGTGCGTGTTCTAAAGTTGAAAAACCAGACTATCTCTATATCTGTGCAGAGAATGATTGCGACATTAACTATATTAGACACCTGCGATTTCCATTGTCTTTCTTTTCCAAAAACCTTTGATGAGGGAGGAGAGTATTGGTGGATTTGTTGTGGTGGTGGGTTGGGGGGGGGGGGGGCGGGGATCAAAGACTATCTCTATATCTGAGCAGACAATGATTGTTTTAGACACGTGCGATTTCTATTTTCTGTCATTTAGCCAAACTATGCCACAGCAACGCGTGGCCGGGTACAGCTAGTATATAATATTATATATATATATATATAATATATATATATATATATATATATATATATATATGCGTGTTTTGCACTGTATTGTTCTTGTCCGCGCGTCTGTGTAAATTGTACTCAGCTTAAAATATAAGAATGGGCTATTTGATTTGGAGGAAAGGAGCATTAATCCCAGAGACGGCGCAAACACCAGAATTTTAGCCACGAAAGTCGCGCAAATAAACAAGACCACAAATATAGCCAGAGACTTTTGGCAGCTTTGGCTAGCAAGAAGCAGCTTGAACGTGATTGAGTTTTTGATTTTTTTCTTGAAATGAATTGGAATTGGAAGATAATTGTTTCAGTTACCTCTTCTGTAATTTGCATTTGTCCTTTATTTATAAAAAACTATGTGTACTTTTGTAAATGTGGCAAGCGAAATGAATCAGGTACAATGTGAAACGATAAAATATAACAGCTTTCTTTAATTATTTTGTTCATATTTTAGTTTAGTAAGATAGGAACGTTATAAAGCACCAAAAAAAAAAAAAAAGATCTCTTCATATTCTAAATATACATTTATCGAGATAAGAACAGTGGATTTTTAACTACATAGAACTGGTAGTTTAGTTCACAAGGCTAAAGACTAAAGTTCACAGTGCAAAGGAAACGCCGTTTCAAACGGGATAAACAAAGTTAGAAGAGTAGAACAGAAGGGATTTGCATTTGAAGATTTCATTAACCCTTTGAAGACGGAGCCTTTTTAGAGTTTCGGAGCCAAGAAGACGGAGCCTTCAAGAGGGGATTATCATAGTTTATACTCACAAAATTATAAAACAAAAATTGTTTAATTAAATTCATATACAAAACTATATCTGAAAAAGGGTCCCAAATTATCGAGGCCGAAAATATAACCTAACTGGGCCTCAATCACATATAAATTGCGTACTTCCAGCGACTACCGCCCACTGCCAAGAGTATCTCCCGTGCCGCTACCGGCGGCACGGAGTGGGGCTAAACTAGATGGCTGGGGCTCACGAGCAAATAAAATAAAGGAAGCTGCAGGAGATGCGGTAGCTGCTGCTCGTGAATCCCAGCCATCTAGTTTATCCATGCCGCATGTAGTGGTGCGGGAAATATTCTCGGCGGTGGCGGTAATTGCCGGAAGTCCACAATTTAAGTAGGCGGAAGTCCGCAATTTACATGTGGCTGATGCCCTGTTAGGGTATATTTTCGGCCCCGATAATTTGGGTCCATTATTCGGAGGATAGCCTATATTCGTATAGGAAATTGAATGAACTAACAGAATATTTATGAATCAAACTGAAATCTCAACATTTATTCAAATTAACTATTCTGATTTGCATAATTTATGTAAGCAATTTTAACAAAACTTGGATACAAACATAACTAAGCTGAAAACAATGGGTGCATTTTTTTTAATGGATGAAGCTTGAATAAGTCCTAACACCTGTATTTTGAGAAGTATGGCCCTTCAGACACGTCTGGCACATAGATCTACACATTTTCCTGCCTCGCGCCAAGTTTCCGTTGCTATGATGCAACAGTCCTTTTCGCCGTTTTTTGGGTACAGGTAACCTCAGAAAAAAATCGATGTAAAATCACAGAACACATCAGACTTTCTCAAAAGCCATCAGTGAACAACCCACATGTGCAAGAAATGCAAGAAGCAGTCTGATTAGCTGGTGCGGATTGCTAATTGCGCAGGACCAACCAATCCGCCCAGCTGTCCTTCTGGCTACTTTGCGTTGGGCCGATATTTAGGCCTCATCGTCTCCAGAGGGTTAATGAAAAGATATTTTAAATCGTAACCACGTCAGTATTAAAGCAAAATATTTTTGACAAGAGAATTTCAATCATTTTAATAGAATAAAGCTGTCTGATATTAATACTGACATCCAACAGTTACTGGTACCGTCTGAATTCAGGAATTAGAACTTTTCTCTTGCTGCTGAAGATGGGGGACAGAGCTCTTATGGGAGTGTTCTGAGTGCTGCGATGTCGATTCTTAACTCTTTGAGTCCCAGGGGGTTTAGCATCACAGGCCCAGGGGATAGTAAAGAAAGTAATAAATCGGCGCATCATGCGTCCATTAGGCGTCTAGGTAGGAACCTGTAAACGTATAATGCGTTTCTTGGGACTCAAAGAGTTAAGTTAATTTAACATTCATAGAAATAAAGCTAATAAAAAACATCTTTTTCATATTCAAATGTTTTAATATTTACTAAAAACTTTCGCTGTATCTCGCCAGGTGCCTTACTGCAGAGTTACATAAATATAAAATGAAGCACAAAACTCATTAAATCGTGATTCATGTTCATGTAACTCTGTAGTAACGCACCTGACAAATTTACAGTGAAATATGCCTGGCAATAAATTGTTTGTGTTCAAATTATTTACATTCATTAGGGAAAACATTGTTTTGAAAAAAAATTATTGCCTGTTTATTCATCTGAGTGTGTAGTGGCTTAATACTATCACGATCTCTGCACTAGATGTTTCAAACTAGACTTTTATTTAACTCGTTTAGTATTTTAAAAAAAAACTGCTAGGTGTAACGAGGAAAGTTTGACTTAGAAACGATGATATCAGGAGGAGAATCATCACAGAACCAATACCGAACTTTACAGTTAGACAATAAATCAAATGGTTTGGCCATGTAACAAGATTAGCAGCAGACAGGGCACCACAAAGAGCAATATTTTACAGATACAGTAGTAACAGACCCAGAGGTTGACCACGCAGAAGACCACTTCTGAAATACCCAATTAGATCCAGCTGTGCATGATTTGGTAGCCGACTGGTTTGTGCTGATTTCAACAGTGGTATGGGTGCTGACCATACAGAGGCAATTTCAAACTACTGAACTTGAAATTGGTAAAATCAGAAGTAGCTAAAAATGCTGGGGCTAGTTCTGCAATGTCTTGTAAAGGGTACACAACTAACTAACTACTCGTCTAGGTTTCACCCCACCCCCATAACTTGCATATTTTAGTTAAGAAGGCTCAGCATACAAGTATTATTTTCATTTTAACGTCCAACAAGAGGGTTTTTGGTTTAAAATATATGATGGCGTTTTGCTTGTCCTTTTTTGTGTGTGTGTGTGTGTCTTTGTGATACATCACTCATCTAGTGGTTAGGGTTATCTGTACTTAAATGTAACACTAACAGCATTGCTAAAATATAAAGGGTATACAACAACTAACTAACTACTTATCTAGGTTTCACATCCCCACCCACCCCACTCTCACCCCTTGCATATATTAGTTACACCCCTTGCATATATTAGTTAAGATAGCTCAGCATGCAAGTATTTTTCATTTAACTTCCAACAAGAGAGTTTTTAGTTTAAAAATATAATTGCGTTTTTCTTGTCCTTTTTTTTTGTCTTTGTGAAACATCACTCATCTAATGGTTAGGGTTATCTGCACCTAAATGTAGCACTGCATTGCTAAAATGTAAATGGTACCCAACTACCTTCTTATCTAGGTTTCAAATCCCCCCTACATGCCACCCTCACCCCTTGCATATATTAGTTAAGATGGCTCAGCATGCAAGTTTTTATTTTTTTATTTCAACGTCCAACAAGAGGGTTTTTTTTTTTGGTTTAAAAATATAACAGGGTTTTGCTTGTCCTTTTGTTGTTGTTGTCTTTGTGATACATCACTCATTTAATGGTTAGGGTTATCTGCACCTAAATCTAACACTAACAGCACTGCTAAAATAAGCTGCACCAATGTTTTAACGTCCAACAAGAGGCTTTTTGTTTAAAAATATAATGGTGTTTTGCTTGTCCTTTTTCTTGTCTTTATAATACATCACTTATATAATTGTTAGGGTTATCTGCACATAAATCTAGCACTAACAGCATTGCTAAAATCAGCTGCACCAATAGAGAATAATATATATTAGCTGGCAAGTGATAAAGCAATATAATTAACAAGCATATTTAGTTGTGCATATAATCAAAGCTGTTAACATGTGGGCTAAATCTTTATGTCATTTCAGAGTACTTGACTTTTGTACTTTTGACTGAATTGTTGGCATCATTTGTGTAATGGCTACAAAAGTAAGTTTCACTCAAACTAAATTAATAGGCACAAACAGAATATACACAAGCATTTCACAGTTTAGATTTTCAAAACAGAAATTTCTTGTGATAACAGTTGGTACTGTCATTTCTCCTAATCCACACCAAGGCTTGATATTTTGCCTTGGCTGCATGGAGTCTAGGTATGGTTAGCATAAACTAGAGGCTGTCTAGCCATCATTTCCTTGGTCTTACTTTTGCCATATATTGATTTTGTTCATAAAGGGATTAATTCTCATACTTTATTTGTTGTCTCTAATTAAATTCTGTGTATACTGTTATGCTTTGTCTATTTCTTATGTCATTTGTTTCACATTGCCTCTTTTGGATACGCCAGTTGCCTTTCTCAAACATTTAATTTCGCATATGGTAAGTTTTCTCAGTTAGAATAGTGATAAAGATCAAGTTTGACATAACAAAGTGTTTGATGAAATATATTCTTTATAATATTTTCATTTAACTTCCTTAAAAGTGTTTGGATTTACTTTGTACTCATGTAAATTCATAGTGTTCTTCTGTCCTATGCAGTTGTAATTTAACTTGCTGTATTTGAAGTAGTTGTTTTCTGAAACTAACAAATGTTGGGTCTAGAGAAATTCAGATAATAACATGAAAGGACAGCAGGAATTCTTACAGTCTGTGCCATGTATCCATAGCCTTCTGTCTTGGGTACTTTCAGTCAGTTCTGACACAGCTGATCTTCCACGCCATGCTTACCAGCATCTTCTCTTTTGGTTTCTCTCTGTTTAATTTCCTCTTAAATGTGTCACAGTCACTGGTTACTCCAGTTTTCTCCTCTTTCCTCCAATAGGAGTTACAGTAACACATAGGACAATAGCTGATTAATGTCATAGCTGAATATGGTACAAGTTAAGTATATCACCAAGAGTTTCCAAAAGCTTTTGATGAGTTATCTAGTATTGATGTCATGAAATAACAATGATTAAAAAAAGTGGGGGGGGGGGGGCACTGCCCTTAACAAGAATATCGTAGTGAGTGACTAATTAAGGTTTACTTAAATCAGATGTGTTTGTTGGGCTGAAAGGTTCAGATTTTGCAGCCTTGCTCTGAAACATAACTGTGTGAAACTGTCCTTCTGAGGACAAACATAGAAGAAGAAAGTGTTGAGATGGGAGAGAGAAGTAAACATTGGCAATGTTTGTGGTAAAGATGTAGTTTTTACAACCTGGAAAAGCATAGAAAAACTATTGAAGTTTAATTTACTGGCTATTTTAACCGCTGCCACTACGGGGGAAAAAGGAAAAAAAAAGGGGGGGGGGGGGGGGGGGGGTAATCGAGCTGCTGTGAATGAAAGACTTAGACTGGACTGGAAGTAATTTGTGTTTAAGATGTAATCAACTACTTAGATTTTCTTCTCAGGATTTTAGGTTTTTATGAATAATTTTCTGAGATGCATTTACTATGCTTGCAGCATAAGTATCACTTGCTTTGTGTGCAAACATCTGTGGGACATATTTACTTTGAGTTGCATTGGTGTGTGAAACTGATGCAAAATAGATTTTCTCCTACTGCATAACTTTGCTTTTTTGGAACTGTTAGTTTGCTTGAGAATGAGAAAATTTTTTTTTCGCTTCTCAAAATCATTGGAGTTTCAGTTTTTCATTGACATGGATTAGGTAATGATTCATTTTTTAGGCTGTAAGATGTATTTGACACATAGTGCTAGCCTCAGGTTTTTATAGACCAGTTAGTACTCAATAATTGGCATTTATGCTGGCTGCCTTTACTTGCCAATGATTTCCTTATGCATACTATTGGCTGGATCAACATGGCAGCTGAGGTCAGTTAAAAATCTGCCTCGCCAGAAATTTAAACCTTTGACCAGTAAGCAAGCTTACTAGCCAGTCTCCACAGCATTTGGTTATACACTGATATTTATAAATTAATTGTTATACTTTTCTTTTCTCCTACTATTTGTGGACGACCAAGCACTAATTGCTAATTGAGAAACAACTGCAAGACCATTTAAATAATTTAAACCTAATTTGCAAAGAGCATAACATGAAAATTAATGTCAACAAAACAGAGATTATAGCCACAAGAGGGTAGCAATAAATATCTTGCTTACATAAAACCCTCTGAAACAAACCAAAAATTTCAAATACTTAGGAAGCATAATATCAGCAGTCAGCAAAACAGAAGATGAAATCGACGACAGATGTAATAGAGCAAAACAAACTCATTGGGCAAATGGCGCCAATACTAAGAGAAAAAAAAACATGTCAATAGAAACCAAAACAGCACTCTATGGCACAGTCTTCTTGACAATCCTGTGCCATCAATTGCCAGACCTCGACAATGACAGAAACAGAGCAAAGAAAGTTGACAACAACTGAAATGAGATTCCTATGGAGAGCTCTCAATATAACAAGAAGAGATCAGATCCAGAATAATGAAATCCAAAGGAGAATGGGGGTAGTGGCAGCTCTGGTTTTCACTAGAAGATAACAAATGAAATGTTTGGCTATATAATGTGGATGTCAGCAGCAGTATGACACAGCAAGCAAATATGTACAGACCAGGCGGGAATCAAGAAGAGAGACTTTTCAGGAAGTTGTGTTGGAAAGGTGGGGGGGGGAGATAATTAGGAGCCAGATTTGATACACTTGCAAGTAATTTGGCAGCAGTTTGACCATTTTGCACATATTTCAACAATGACACATGCAGTATAAGTTTTTCTTGTTCATAAAATGATGATAAACTACTGAAAGTATAATTGCCTATTGAAACCACAAACAGCCAACATATGATGTGTTTTGTCTGTAGCATCCAGTAAAGGACATGAAACAAACTTTTTATATATATATATATATATATATATATGAATTGTATATTTAATTTGTTATCACTTGCTTATTTCAGCTGGTAAAATGCTCAAGAGTAGTAACATATTTGCCTAGTCTACAGTCAGCTGTGATAAGGTGTAGAACATTGTCTTCTTCTTCTTCTGCTGCTGCGGACACCAGTGGCTTGCAAGTATCTGAATCAGCCATTGAGTCTGCAAGTATGTGCTTATTTCAGCATTTATTTCATTTCAAGAAAATTTGAGAATCAGTTTTGTTGTTGGGGGGGGGGGGGGGGGGGGGGGGGACAGGTTGATAACTCCATAAATCCTCAAGACTGTTCTCATAGATTATGGAAGTAGCATCTCAAACTAGAAAAGAGTTTGAAAGAACTGAAAGCTCACAATTAAAACAAAAACTCTTGTGTATAAGGCTTGTTGTTCTCAGCAGTCTACTGAAACTTGGTCAACTTATTCACACCTTGGAGAAATGGCTAAATAGCTTTCACATGCAATGCCTAAGAATAATAAATGGCATTAAGTGGCAGGACAAGATCATGAACACTGAAAAATTGGATAGAGCAGGTATTTCAACAGTTTTCTCATTGCCCCATCTATGAAGGCTCAGGTGGCTGGAATCACACCTGGAGAAGAGAGATAGGACATCCTCTATGGTGAATTAAAGACTGGTAGAAGATGTTGAGGCCTACCTCTACTATGATATAAAGATGGGTGTAAGGGTGACATAAATGTTACAGGTATTGAGGTGGACTGGTGGGAACAAAATGCCAAGGACCCTGTTGTGTGGGAGGGGCACATAAGGAAGTCAATGAGCATAAAGGAAAAAAAATGATTGCAGAAAGGATGAGAGCTGAGCTTCTGAGAAGAAATAAACACAAATGTTGACAACAATGGTCCTGAAATCCCATGCAATCATTGTGGAAGACTTTTCTTGATACAGGCTGGTCTGGCTAGTCACACTCGCCATCGCCATGGGCTGTGTCCCATGCCTCCTCACAGCGCAATATAACACTATCGTCTGGAAAGAGGGAAAGGTGCCAATGATGATGATCTCAAACTAGGGTCAGGGAAACAACAACCAAATGTTAAACCATTTCCTATATAACATGCAAGAATTATGTTTCTGCAGGCATTGATTGTGTAAGTTTTTTTTTTCTGCACAAAATACAGTTGTGGCAATTTGACAAAATAACTTATGAGAGGATAGCATAAATGTAAATACAACTAATATTCTGTGAAAATACTGATCATCCACATTCTTTTTGTTGAGCACCTGTATGCGTATCTGAAATGTGATGTTTATTCTATTAATAAATAACCATTATATAACTGAGATGATAATAAATATGTAAAGTATAAATCAGCACAAAGAGGCCCTGTTTAAACTTTTGTGGTGTATAGGGTATATAAGTAAGAATACAATACAGATCTAGCTGTCAGAATACAGTATGTGTCCCGTCAAAAGTATAACACTGATCTCTAGATCTCTCCACAATAACCCCTGTTACAGGTAGTTTTATTCTATCTTTGCACTCACCGTTCGTTCCTCAGAACCCCGTGGACCTGTGATAACCTCTAGACCCTGGTCACGGTATTCTGCTGGTCGTGTACATGGGCCCCTGAGCACTGGGTCAAGTCACTGTCAGCCAAGTGCTCACCATCAACATCCTCATTACATGGGACATCTCATAGCCAGGACCCAGGACCTTGACATTGGCATAGACAAGCTTCTTCTAGGATTTTTTTTAAACCCAAGTTAAATTACTAGTTAACCTCAGACTCTTCATCATACACTAGTCTGATCCTTTCCCTTGTACACATGTGTATGAGTGCTTTACTTGCAGTTGGTTCGTTTATTACTTTTTTTACTTTTTACCCTAGCATGCCCAGGCAAGGGAGGTGAAGCATGGCTTCTGAATGCTGTCTACCCATTCAGAGCCAAAACTATATTTTATGCCTAGCTGTAAACTACAACATAAAGAATCAGCTGCCCTATTCAGGTGAACACAGAAAAAGAATATTCCCAGTAATTTTTGTGTAATACATTTTCTGTGGCAATTTTAAACTGGTTTTATAATTATGTTTTTCTCTTGCAGAAACTCTGATTGTATGTGCGGATAAACTTTTATGTCCAATAAACCCACAAGACAAGAGGTTTCCCTTGCCAGGTGGCACAGCACTGTGTACCACTTCAAGACTGAATTCAGACATTAACATTAATTCATTTAATTCTTCAGTATTTGATTCTGATATTTTGTTACCTTCACTTCCGTTCCTGAAACACAATGATGCAGACTACTTTTTGACCTCATTTAATGAAGTAAGTTAAAAAAAAAATATATATAAAGCATATAAACAGCTCATTGTATGACTTAATTCCTTGCTTGTCCATGTGTATCCCGGAGCTAACTAAGTAAAAAAAGTAAAGTAAAGGACCCTTTCCACGCCTTTAGGTGTATAGGGCATATAGGGCTAGACCTATATTTTTATAGACCAACGGCACAAGATGGGTGATGTGGTCAGCTCACGCCGGCCGCCTATACTTCCCGGGGACCGGTGAAAGCTGGGTCGACCTGGGAGCCAAGGTCATTTTTGAAGAAAAGTCCGTCTCCGCCAGGGAGCGAACCCACGACCTTCCGATCCGCGGCGCGCATCTAGCCGCTCGGCCACAGCGACTCTCCGGAGCTAACTGCCTTCATAATAAGCATGTTATAAAAGGTGACTAATTGGGGGTTTGCTAAAATTGTAAATATTGGATTGAAAGGCACAGAAATTGCAACTATACTATAAACCACCACATAGTGGGCCAACTGTGCTTTTTAGGGCAAACAAAGAAGAAGAATGCCTGGCATATTTCAATGTACCTTACCAGGTGCGAAAGGTTAGTTGCATATCCTTTACAGGACGTTGCAGAACCAACCCCAACAGCCTCTGGCTGTTGTGTGGTTTTTCTAGACAAATTTACGTCCAGTAGTTTGCCATTGCTTTCTGGACGGTCGGCTTTCTTGATACCACTGTCGAAACCAACAAAAGGCGCATGGCCTGCAGCTGGGATCGAACCCGGCATCCCGGCATTACAAAGCGCTTACCAGGTGCATACTACCCACACACAAAATTGATTAAAAATAAAATAACTAAAGCATTTTGGTAAAAAGTAGAAACATGTATATTTACTACGTGGCTAAAATTGACAACCATAAGTTTCTGTTTTACACACCAATGGATCTAAAATATGCCTAGATGTACATTTTGCAATTTACTGGTTGACGTCTATTTCGAAGTAAGCGTTGTCTGTTAGAAGAAACATTTCCTAGTTCAGAAAACCAAATCTAGTCTTCGCAAAACAGTATTGCTTATTTTAGATAATTCTGCTACAGACTTTTTTTAAAACGCATTTTGTGTGAATGCTCTATTTATCTACTCGATTCATAAATAAACAAAAATTAAAGAGGAATGAAAAAGAAGATGATCTGTTTAATAATGTTTTTAAATTAGTGAAAACTGCCACTACTGTCTGTATATACAATTTTTTTAAGGTGGTATAGTACAGGGGTTCGTGACCCTGAGGATTTAGGGCTGTTGCCATGGACTACAGGTAAGAATATTTAATTTAACCTGACAGAAAAAGTCCATCACTCGCATGAGAGCCCGACATTGTAACCTACTGTTGCCATGGACTACAGGTAAGAATATTTAATTTAACCTGACAGTCGCACCTTTAAGTCGCAACCTTTAAAATAGTAATTTAGTCCTAAAGATTGTACTTTTGGATTGATGCTACACCTGGGATTCTCTATTTTATGTTTGTTGAAATGTTTTTCCTATAAATATTTGTTTTTTGTGACTGACGTTTGCTTTTTTTTTCTCCACAGTCCACATGTGTTTATTTCTCTTTAATGAAAGCATCAAAGAAACACATTTACCAATTCTTGGCGCATCATTAATATTGACTCTGTCAACTAATAAATAATCAAAAGGATATTAATAATAATTGTGTTAAAAAAAATTACATTAACTCTTTGAGTCCCAGGGGGTTTAGCATCACGGCCCAGGGGGTAGTAAAAAGAGTCATAAAATCGGCACATCATGAGTTCATTGGGCTTCTAGGTAGGAACCTATGAACGTAGGATGCGTTCCTTGGGACTCATAGAGTTAATTCCCTGCCTTAGATTGTTACTTTTATAGCAGATGTATTATTTTTATTTTTTTATTACTTAGGTTGATGTGAATTTTATAGATATGTCTGTATCCTTTCCCTTACCTTCGGACAAAATGGAGTACAGGGCACATAGTTGTCCAGTCCTCTTACGTAAAGGTATGTAAAAATGTATCATTGAAGTTTATATATATATATTCTACGGACTAAAAATATGTGTGCAGTGATTATCAGTGAGTTAATTGACAGTTTTTACAAAATGTAATAAGAAAGTGGCTAATCCACTGACCTTCAGCAAAATGATCCTAAGATCAAGTCCACCAGTAGCAGATATGCTTTTCAACTATTTGTCTGACTGGAATTTACTTGGCCATGTTACATGGATATCTGGTAATATTCAGTAAATTAAAGGACAGGGAGGAAGGTATCCTTTCATCTCATCTAGTATATGGAAGGCATTCTTTTATCCCATCTAGTTATCCCATCTAGTTATACTGTAATCTAGAATAACGAAGGCATCCTTTCATCTCATACTGTGATCTAGTATGTAGAAGGTATCCTTTTATCCCATCTAGTTATACTGTGATCTAGTATATGGAAGACATCCTGTCATCCCATCTAGTTATACTGTGATCTAGTATATGGAAGACATCCTGTCATCCCATCTAGTTATACTGTGATCTAGTATTTAAAAGACATCCTTGCATCCCATCTAGTTATACTGTGATCTAGTATATTAAAGGCATACTTTCATCCCTTCTAGTTATACTGTGTATATGGAAGACATCCTGTCATCCCTTCTAGTTATACTGTGAGTATATGGAAGACATCCTGTCATCCCATCTAGTTATACTGTGATCTAGTATATGGAAGACATCCTTGCATCCCATCTAGTTATACTGTGATCTAGTATATGGAAGACATCCTTGCATCCCATCTAGTTATACTGTGATCTAGTATATTAAAGGCATACTTTCATCCCTTCTAGTTATACTGTGATCTAGTATATGGAAGACATCCTGTCATCCCATCTAGTTATACTGTGATCTAGTATTTGGAAGACATCCTTTTATCCCATCTAGTTATACTGTGATCTAGTATATGGAAGACATCCTTGCATCCCATCTTGTTATACTGTGATCTAGTATATTAAAGGCATACTTTCATCCCATCTAGTTATACTGTGATCTAGTATTTGGAAGACATCCTGTCATCCCATCTAGTTATACTGTGATCTAGTATTTGGAAGGCATCCTTTAATCCCATCTAGTTATACTGTGATCTAGTATATGGAAGGCATCCTTGCATCCCATCTAGTTATACTGTGATCTAGTATATTGAAGGCATCCTTTCATCCCATCTAGTTATACTGTGATCTAGTATATTGAAGGCATCCTTTAATCCCATCTAGTTATACTGTGATCTAGTATTTGAAAGGCATCCTTTCATCCCATCTAGTTATACTGTGATCTAGTATTTGAAAGGCATCCTTTCATCCCATCTAGTTATACTGTGATCTAGTATATTGAAGGCATCCTTTCATCCCATCTAGTTATACTGTGTTCTAGTAAGTGGAAAACATTCTTTCATCCCATGTAGTTATACTGTGATCTAGTATATGTGAAATCAACTGCTTTAAATGTCACTGTTAATGTCTGTAATAAGTCAAAACGTAGACTTGACATGAACCTTGGTTTACACCGACTTTAACGTCTAGGGTTAACAACACAAACGCCGCTCAGCTTCTTGGTACATTCTGTCAGTTTATTCTCGTCCATTTATTTCACATTTATTTCACTTTTCGCGCGAGGGATATTCGAACACTAACCAGGCTTTTTTTTTTTTTTTTTTTTTCACAACATCAAAAAAAACTACATCTTCAATTACTACAACCGTCTACTCCTGACTTCTCATGATCGACATGACCACGAGGCTAGCTCGGGCTTCGCCTCGCTTCCTCCACCGGCCACAAGTATCTCGTGCCGTCACTTGTAGCACGGGACTTTCTGCTTGCCACAATGTAATCGTGAAGACCATGCAAAGCACCTCATCACATACTCCCCCCCTTCTTAACAAAATGATTACTTATGGAAACTCAAGTATCATTTTCCCTTTTACTGATAGATGAATCAATGGAACATAAATCTAACTACACTACTAGGGATTACCATTCCTAATTACCCTCAGTTACCGCCCTTGGTTTTAAATTTTTACTGTATGCTTTTTGAAGTACTGATCTGGTGAAGGGTGTCTCATTTTTGCACCTCTTCATCTATAGTATAACTTCATCACTATACCTATTCTATAGGGTTGAAGTAAAATAATCATTGTGATGATGGTGATGATAATGGTCAGCTTTGAGATATTCAATACAGGTATAATAAATCAATTTAAATGTATTACTGCTAGGAATTGTGGTTCCTGACTATCCTTAATTACTGCCCTTTAAAACTGCTTTTAGTATTTACTGCATGCTTTCCCTGTACTGAGCTGATGAAGAGTTTATACCATCTTTACACCTATTGCATCTGTAGTATTGTTTAGTCACTATATCTGATCTATCAGGTTCAAAGTGAAATGATAGTGATGATGATCAGCTTTGAGATATTTACTACATAGAAAATTGGATTGAACCAATATTTCTACATCACCTTTTACAGGGTGTTAAACCCCAAGGACTCTTAGCCGATATGATAGTGGTGAGATGATTGTCAGCTTTGAGATCTTTATTACATAGAAAATTGTATTTAACCAATACTTCTACATCACCTTTCACAGGGTGTTAAACCCCAAGGACTCTTAGCCGATCTGATAGTGGTGAGATATATTTTCCATAGTGCTTCCGGTTTCCCAAAAGCTCTATAACACCTTTTACAGGGTACGATTACCGGGAATCGACCTTGACACAGAACGCCACTTACATTGACTGTTCAGCTCTGTTACTAGCTGTCAAGTTCAATGGTCCACCAGCTGTGTTCTCGGTGATGTTCCGGTTATCTTAGTTACCCAACCCCAAGGAATCTACCATATAAAAAAAAATGCATGTTGAGATATATTTTCATAGACCAAAGTCTCACCTTTCACAGAGTAATTACCCAACTCCAAGGAATTCAACATGAAAACAATGATAATTGAGATATATTTTTTCATAGATCTTAGAGTTGCCTCCAAGTCTATATCCACCTTTAACAGGGCAGTCAACCCCGAGGAATCTCAGATGAAATGATGACTATTGGGATGATTTTTTAATAGAGTTTAGGGTTTCCCCACAAGTCTCTATATCACCTTTAACAGAGTATTAACTCCAAGGAATCCCACACACCTTTTCCCCCTTTAAATGGATACAGATGAGTTCAACTCCTCTACTGTGCTTGTGCTTTGATGTGTGCACTCTTTCTTTACCATCAGTATGTCTATTCAGCATCAGTATAACTATAGCCTTTCCTAATCTTGGGTGTGGTGGACAACTTTACAATGTCCCTGTGCTGTGTACTTATGCTAAACATTTCAAATTAAATATTTTTATCAAAGTCATTCTGTGGAAAAAGATTTCTATTTGATCTATCACTAAATCTTGATCTAATTCTTCTTTGCTGTTCCTGGGAAGAGAATTTTTTTTTTTTTTTTTTTTTTTTTTTTTTTAAACTTTTGAACTACTGCCATTACCTGAATACTAAACTATTCCTAATGAACTACTAATTCTCATTATACGAATACTAAACTATTCCTAATGAACTACTAACCTAAGTAAACTTCATGTACACTATTAAAATACTACCCACAAATCTTTCATTCATCATTCATACCTGTTTTATTCTCTTTCATTCCCATTCATTCCATTAACTATTCTTGATCTTGATCCATCCCTGCAGGCTGTGTGTGTCTTGCTTGTACTCTGGCGCTTGCTTTTAAGGTTCTCATTCCTTGGTTTGCTCGACAGTCTGCTCTGCTCTGGGGTCTCTCTTAGTATGCTTGAACTGATAATCTTAGAGATATACTGACTAAAAATATAATTTGATTTTAAGAGTTAACACAATGCTATTATCAGTGTTCAGTGACTGTATACTCTGATATGCCACCTTTAAAATAATAATAATGGAATTAAACGGAAGGTGTTCAATACACACAGTATGTGGCTGTTTTTTATAAATGAAATCAGGTGTTTATGCACTTTTTAAAAATACTTCATCATTAATTTGATATTTATTTACACAAAACTTTAGTATGTAAACATAATCTAACTTTTCACAGTAGCTATCACAATTGTGTAAACACGATGTAATACTGACGTTTTTTGTTGTTTTTGATTGCGTTTAGACAGTCGGAATGCTTCATTATTCTCGCATTCTTTATTTTATGATACGTTTGGTATTCGATGATCTTGATGTCGATTTGTATAGCTGGTCTTGAAGTTTCGCTTAGAATTTGATGATTTTGAGATGTTTCAATCGTTGATTTTGAGGTGTCTGGAGAAAATAATTTTGTGTTCCTTGATGGTGATTTTGAAATTTGAATAATTCGGTGGCTGATATGTTTCTGTTCATTCACTGTACAGTACTGGTTGGTGATTTCTGATTTTGATTGAAATTTGATAATCTTGAAGATGAAGACTGCTAAACTGTCAATTCTTGATGATTGTTCAGGTTCACTCTTGTTCGTTTGGTTGAAGGTGGTACTATGTAGCTTCTTGACTGATAATAATCTTGAATTTTATGCATGGTGATATGTTAGATTGATGTTGATGTTCAGGATGATGGACTGTATGGTTTCAAGTTAGTAAATAGTGATACTTCAGTTGATGGTGATTTTCCTTATTTCAGCTGTTCTTATGTTTGTTGATGGATTTGTATGTACTTGGATACCACTTTGTTTTAATAATATGGATGTTGACGGAAATGCATTTGTTCCCAGAATGTTATATCTTCTTCAGAACAGTTATTGATACCTTTCAGATCTCCTAGAATCAAATCTGTCGAAATGTCTTTCATTACTAAGACTTTCATTGGCTTGGTCATCCATGGTGATTTTAAATATATATATGCTGTTGGTAGCTGTACTCGTCCATAATTATAATAGTATATAAGTTCTCCACTATAATCTGATGGTTTTAGCATTTTATCCGATACTATATTGAAGAATGTATTTCTATTTACTTGCATTAAAGCTGGTTTGTTGTTAATGAAACATTTAGTTGTTTTTCCCAGATATTTCGGGTTTAGTGCTTCCTTTATATTATCATAAGGCATGGGGCTATTATTATAAAAATACGGGAACTCTTTATCTACAGTTTGTCTGTCTATTGTTTCACAGTCATCCTGTTCCATACACTGAGTTTCACTTTCACTTTTTCCTTGTTTGTGATTCTTAGCTGAATCAGAATTAGATTTCCTTTCAGGAGAATTTCGTGGTTGCTGATTAATTTCCATTGTTTCTGAGTTTGACTTTTTCTCTGTTTCAATGGCTGCTGTCTTTTTTGTTTCAACTTTCTTGCTTGTATTACTACTCTTGCTGGATTCTAGCTCTGCAATCACAATTTCGTTCTTTATCTTTTTAGTTCCTGGACATTTCAATGGCTTTTTTTCCTATGCAAATTGTATGTGGCTCTGTTGTTTTTTCCTTGATTCTTTCTACCGTAGCACAGTGAACAATCTAGAGTTGGAATATCTTCTGAATCCATTGTAACTGAATTAGTTTTTGCCAAACGAGGATCTTTTCTTGTCTTTTAACATCTGTTTCCCAACACAGTGTTTTTACAATATGTCCGAATGCCTTACAAAAGTGGCACTTTTTAAGGTTATTCTTTTGTTTATTTTTTGCCACTTTTTATTGACCCAAGTCTTCAATATAACTTGAATATTTAGGATCTCTGTCGCAGATAGTTGCAGAATTGTGCTGGTACTTACAAAAAATGCACATCTTGATCTTCTGGTTACTTATCGATGTATCTTTCATTGTTGTCGCTGAAGATACTTGCGACAAAGTGTTCTTACTTTTTACCAACCTTTTAGATGCCATTCTGATAAACGCACAATCGATGCAAAAAATGTCACCGTAGTAAGAAAACTGATCGTAACTGTAAATAAAATTAGTTCATAGTCCGCTAGTTTCCGCGAAACAATAATGGTCACAAACCTGATTTAATTCATAAACTAAGTTTTCATGATGTGTAACTTTGGTAAACCTGAAACTTCTTGAATCCACAAACCTTGGTAATACGATGTGTGTGTGGCAGGCAGGGCGTAGATGACACACCGATTTTCATTGGTCGGCAGCTGACCTGTCGGCGCTTGCTGTGTTTATTATAGGCTTTGCTCGGGTGAAGCCTTTGTACCGTACACTGTTTTCCGCATGTTTGTCTTACCTTGGAAGAAACAAAAATGTTTTCCTATGCTTATGGTCCACGTGGTTTCGAATTTCCCGGACGAGCCCCCAATTGTAATAAGTCAAAACGTAGACTTGACATGAACCTTGGTTTACACCGACTTTAACGTCTAGGGTTAACAACACAAACGCCGCTCAGCTTCTTGGTACATTCTGTCAGTTTATTCTCGTCCATTTATTTCACATTTATTTCACTCGCGACATATTCGAACACTAACCATTCACAACATAAAAACTACATCTTCAATTACTACAACCGTCTACTCTGACTTCTCATGATCGACTGACCACGAGGCTAGCTCGGGCTTCGCCTCGCTTCCTCCACCGGCCACAAGTATCTCGTGCCGTCACTTGTAGCACGGACTTTCTGCTTGCCACAATGTAATCGTGAAGACCATGCAAAGCACCTCATCACAGTCTAGTATATGATGAGCTGTACCTATATTTTTAATGTTGCATTCAGAATTTATGTAGCTTCCTCTTTTTGTTGGGGTGGTGGTGGTGGGGGTGGGGGGGGGGGGGGCTGTTGTTTGTGGCTTTTCTAGGCAAATGTTATATTCAGTAGTGTGCCATTGCTTTCTGAAAGGTCAGCTCTCTGTACCTCTGTCAAATCTAACACGAAACATTCGGCTACTAAATTATGCTAGACTTTTAATTTTTTAGTTTGGTTGGGGTGATGTTGACAACATCAACCATTCTGTGCCAACTAGTTTATAAAAAATGTGGGTGTGTTAGACCTATAAGCCAGTTGGCACTCAGAGGGTGGTGCTGTCTACATCACACCAACCAATTTTACTTCCCAGACTCATGGATAATTAGTGGAGTGTTCTTTGTATTTTTTTTTTTAAACTTTTCAAGACTGAATTTTATTTGGAGTTCAATGCTAAGAAGACAGCCTTCAGGAGGGGATTCTCTTAATTTGCACACTACATAGAATTATAATAAATCTTTTAATTAACATATATAAAACTACATATATTCTTGTAGAAAATTGAACAAACACAAGTCTTTGTGAATCACACTGACATTCAGGGACATCTCAACATTTATTCAAATGTTTCTATACTGATTTGCATATTTATGCATGCATTTATTTTTAAAGACAAACATGACTAAATTTAACAGTGTGCGTACATTTTCTGATGAATAAAACCTGAATGTCCTAACATTTGTGCTTTGGGCTAATAAGGACCAATGAGGCCCCATTTAGACACCTCTGGCACATGGTACTACTCCTTTTCCTACCTCCTGCTATATTTTGGTTGCTATGATGCAACAGTCCTTTTCACCATTGTGGGGCACAGGTAACACCCCCCAAAAAGTGATGCAAAATTACAGACTGCAACAAACCTTCACGAAAGCTGCCATTGAACAGCCGACATGTGCAGGAACGAACGAATGAACGAAAGAAATGCAAGAAGCAGTCTGATTGACTGGTATGAAGACCAGCCAGCCAATCTCAAGGCTTATATACCAGGCCAACAGATCGACCCAGCCATCTTTTTGGCTATTTTGCTGTTAGGTGATAGATCAACCCAGTCGTCCCCAAAGGGTTAAAACAAAAAGTTAACAACAAGGGATCTGTTCCTCTCACCCTATGTCATAATCTAGTATATACAAGGTCCGACAATTAAGTAATGAGACTGATTTTATTATAGCCAAGACAAAAATGCCATATATAAACCAAAGCATGGAATCTAAAGAGATTCACATCTGGCATTCATCTTTTATGATCTGTTCCTCTCACCCTATGTCATAACCTAGTATATACAGGTCCGACAATTTAAGTAATGAGACTGATTTTATTAACTGCCATATATAAACCAAAGCATGGAATCTAAAGAGACAACATTCATCTATGATCTGGCAACTTTTCATCACCGCTCAATAAGCAGACAACAAACAAGCTGCCATTTCGTTGATCTAGTCAGAGATGCATTGTTACATAATCAGCGTGGAGCAAAAAGCAAACATTAAATTTAAATGACATGCAAAGGGCCGTGAAGATGACATCGACTTAAAAAGGGTGGCATACCACACAACAAAAAGAAGACCAACAGAGGTTTGTTCCAAAACAGTGTGTTCTCAGCCTTTATACTGTGACTCTATTTTTCAGTTTGTTCAAAGATCTATTTCGATTTTGATGACATGCAAAATAGCCCTAAATGACTTTAATATAACAACAGAAGAACAACAGAGGTTGTTCCATGGAAGGTGATCTGACAATTGTTACCATCAGCCTGAAGACACAGAATGATATGACTCTATGGTCACAGCAAGTAGAGCAAGAAAGAGAGGAACTGCTTGAAGCAGTGAGTAATGGATTGCATACATGTATTTGTTTATTCGTTCACACAAATGCTGAATTATAAGTTTAATTATGTTTGATAATATATAATGAAATCTACTGTATCCACATACACTACAGATCCTACTTACTGTACACCAGTAGCACGCTTATATTATCATATAAGGAGTTTGCCAGGAAGGCTAACCCGGCCAACAAATGTCTGCAGAAGTCTGCTGTCTTGGCCAAACGGAGCAAACATCACATCCATGCTGTAAACAGGCACAGTGCAATAACATCTTCAGATGAACGCAGAAGAAAAAAGAAGATTTGGTAGTTCAAATTTCAGAGCCCAAGTTCAAGATGTGTTATTCACGCCGAAGAACTGCATGGCTGTAAAGAACGATGAAAATATACAGTACTAGAAATATAAAAAGAAGAACAGAAATACTGACATCTTGAAAGATCTGAACATGAAGGAAGATTGGCTAATAAACAGCATCCAGTCTCGGAAGCTGAAATATTTTGGTCATATCATAGCAGAAGGCATGGTACCAGGAAGGATTTGCTGGGGCCGAACGACACGAAGATGGGCACAGGATATAAGTGACTCCTTGAGTATGAAAGTACATGAGGCGGGAGAACTGGCAAAAGACCTAGTTTCTTTCAGGCAGACTGTGATGAGAACAACGTTCTGCAAAGGACCTGCTACATGATGATGATGATGAAATGAGCTAAAGTAATTTAAAAAAGTTAGTAACTTATAAAACAGTGAGTACTAGAAACAAATTGTACTATAATATGATAAGCATAGGAGATATAAAGTAGCGAATGCATGAAGTATTGTTTATTGGGTGTTAGAAGGAAGAAATATAGTAGAAATATAGAGTAGTGAAGGCAACAATATTGAATAGTGAATTCAAGAAAATTACGGAAAGTTCTGAGTACATGCGTAAAACAGTGGTGACTGATAAATATATACCAGTGAATATTATAAATGGAGAGTTGTAAGTTTTAGAAATACTCATAATTGAGTTTGAGATGTATAGGATATGATAAGAATTAAAATCAGTTAGCACTGGGATTTTACAGTATTGCATGTATAAAATACTAAATATGAGAACATATTTTCTGTCTATTGCGTACTTTATACAAAATATTCCATAGGCAGTGTCTGTCCTGTTTTTTTTTACCAGCTTATTTTTTTTATTTCAGTTTATCCAAGGGGCTCTAGAAATATGTCAGATGTTTGAAAAATCTGGTTACTGGGCAGACTTTATAGATCCTTCCTCAGGAAAACCTGTAAGTCCTAACACTTTTAGCATGAAATCATTGTTACTTGAATTCATTTGAGCCAAGCAGTTGTTACATACAAGTAATCAGTTCTTGGTGTAAATGAGTTCCCACCCGGGCATTTTTTCCCCATAGTAAAATGGTGCCGGAACTCACCATCAAGTGTCTAAAAAAGGTGTGGTCCTCACCACAAAGTGTCTATTACAGTAGCACTGAGAAAACATGATGCTTAAAAACGTGTTGATACTGTGTACTAACAGAAAAAAAAGCCCTAGTTCAAACTTTAACACTGTTGCTATTGAAAGGATGGAACTAAGGGAGAATTGGGTTAGAAATGGTAATGTATCAGCTGGGTGAGGCACTGTGAGCAAGTCAAGCAGATCATGTTAGGAGTATAGTAAATAGATAAGTACTTGACTTAGCAATATATCATGTTAGGAGGATTGTAAATAGATTAGTACTTGAGTTAGCAGGTGTAGTTCTTCAGTTCAGATAAGTGGATGCCTTGAATTGTTGTGTTGCCCCTTTCGAGATCCATCAGACAGATTCTGTTGTCCCCCTGCCTCTTTGTTTCCTAGAATTCATGTTATTTCATGGGAGAGACACGGTGTGTGCTTTGTTCCCATTAGCAGAGGTGAGGCATAGATGTTTTAATTCGTCGAGGGGGAGAGGGGGAAGAGCTGTCTGGAAGATATTCGACACCAAGGGGAGAAAATGTAGGTCAACTTTCAATCAGGTTGCAACTGGTACTATTAGAATATCCACTCTTCGTTGGCTGCTGAGAAAGGAGGCAGAGCACGTGTAGTGCAAGGATGTCAGTTCTTGATTCATTTATTCAGACATCAATTTTTTTTACAATCGGTAATGAGCTCCCAGATAACCCTTTCTTCACTTGTAGCTGCTTAGTTTACCACATAAATCATTTAATTCTGCCTGCTTGTTATTTTTAAAACTTGCTATGGCTGCATACTGTTATCATCCTTAATAAGTTTCTGTTTGTTTAATTTTCCCATTCATTTTGTGTTGTTGGGGTTTGTCTTTTCTTGTCATTTAATGCTAAAGGCTTTTCACCCCAATATGCTTTTGTTTTTATTATTATTTTGTTTAAAGCTGATTTACACTTTGTTTTCTAGTTGTTTACATTTCCCTAGCTTTACACATTAACAAAAAAAAAGATTCAATTTTTGTAAGTGACCATATAATGTTAAAATCACAAATCTGGCACTGAAATGGGAAACACATGAATTGAGGTAGTAAGGGTGTCAAAGAGAAACTTTGATGATGGGAGAGGCCAGAGGGATAGGACTGGATTCTGTCCATGATATTGACATAATTGCACAGGATAGAAAGAAATGGAGAAATCTGTGAGCTTTGTGTGATGTATCAGTGGCAGACAGGATGATGATATAGCATAAATTGCATGCATTTAATGCTCATTTAGACATGTTATTTAATTATTTTTTTTTTCTTTACAGTTCAAAGGTTCGCACACAAACTTTACACTGTTTGAAACAGATGAGCGCTACAGAAAGTTGGGATTTGAGATCCAAGACCTCGGCTGTTGTAAAGTGATTAGTCATCCAGTGTGGGGAGCTCATGCATACATTGGCTGCTTATTTACCTCTGCTCCTATCGATCATTCTCTGATTGTAAATTTGCATGAATCTCAATAAACAATGTATACGTGTATATGTAAGTTTGTACAGGAAGCACACAGATCATTTTCCTGTTTTAGGTCAGCGTATATTTTTATTTCTGGGGGTCTTCATGGCATGGTGGTCAAGTCATTTTTCTTGTGGTCTGAAGGTTGTGGGTTCATGTGCCGGGCACGTCTTTAGTTCACGAGTGTAGTTTTTATGGAGATCTCTGAGGCTCGTAGCTGGAGCAGTGGATTTTATACCTGGTGTGACACTCTCATTAGGCAACTGGTTGTTTTGTCAAAAGAGACACATATACATGGGATAACATGCTCTAGTGAAGTCATTCCTCTTAATTTTAACTGTTTTAGTGAATGTTTTCACATCTTTTTATTCATTGTATACTTCAGAGGCCTTGGAAATGTGGTTTAATAGAAGAATTTTTAGAAGTCCTTGGACAGCCACAAAGAAAACCTATATATTTTGAAAGAGGTGGAGGCTTGAAGATGTGACTTATCACAAACATCAAAAAGAGACAATCATCATTTTTAGGTCATATTATAAGGAGAAGAAAACTGGGAACTGATGTGACCGCTGGAGAAAGATCTGTGGGGAAAAAAGAGACAAAGAAAGACAAAGTGAGAAGATTCTTGAGTACCTTTTGTCATGACATGGAGGGGTGTCAATAAATAAACTGGTAAATGCTGTTGAAGATCACAGATTGTGGAGAGGCATGATCATCCCTGTCAGTCGGCCAGGCAGTTGATGATGATGGCACCTTCAAAATGAACCTAAACATGAATGTATCGACAAAAATCAGCAATAAACTTCAGGTAGTGAAGATTCATTTAACCTTGAGTCATAACAGTTTAGCTTACTGATGTTCTCTCTGTTTTTTTTTATTTTTTTATTTGTCATTAGGCTGAAGTAATTGTGTCCCGAATCTGCCCTTTTGCCAGCTTCATTTTTAGGTGTTCTGTGGTGTGTAGCGGCGTCAGTAGCTTAGGCGTTGCGAGTCTGACACTTTATTCCAACTTACAGCGATCGAAAACCACTGCTGGCTGCATGGATTTTTATCACAGTATGGGACGTCGCAGGTCGAACCAGCCTAAAATAAGTACCAGGCTGGCTGTCCTGGGGAAGTAAAGATGGCTGGCGTAATGCTGACCACATTACCCACCTAGTGCTGATTAGTCTGTAAAAATATAGGATGCTCTTCCCATTAGCCCTATGCGCCTAAGGCCTGAAAAGGAATCTTATTTTTTTTTCTTTTGTCGTGAGATGGAATCATTATATTACAAATAATTTTTAGCTTAACCTCATATTTTCTGGATTACCTGTTGAGTGTTTTAAAAACTTGCTAGTAAAATTGGGTGATATTACTGTTACTAACTTCTGCGGTGTTATTATGACTTATTTATCGATTGTTGAATGTATAATTGTTTGCTTGTTTTTTGAAGACATTTGAATGTTAAATGCATGCTGTTGTTGTTGAGACACACATGAGCACACATGCGCACACACACATGAGCACAAATGCGCACACACACATGAGCACAAATGCGCACACACACATGAACGCTTGCACACACTCGCAGACACAAGCAATACATTAACTCAGGTTGTTCAATTATCAGGGAGAGAAAGATATTATTTCAGACAGTGCACACAGTGATACTGTGGTTTCACACATAGAAAAAAAACAGTATCGTGTACTATGGTGTTCCATTTAAGTTTCCATAATAGGAAAAATCAACATGTCACCAATGCCATTACAAGCATAACTCCAGCCGTGTTTATTCATGTTCTTCAGCAGTCGAGGACATGTAGAAATGTGTTTTCTTCTTCTTTGTTTACCAGCTGTAAACTCCAGCGGAAAGTCCTGGTTGTTCATCCATGTAAACTTTGGCTTTGTGCCAGGGCCTGAGTTTTGCATGTACATCTGTTTTACTGGCTTATTTGTGGGCAGTTCCTTGTTCCCTGCTGCTCGAGCAGATGCACCCAATTAGTCGACTTCTGTGACATGCTTGTTGTGGAGGCAGTGATTCTGTTCTTATTTTCCCCGCAATGGAGCCCTGGAGCCCACACGGGGAAAATATGTTTTCAAAACAGTAGTAGTCCTGCATAGCATATTATATAAATAAATATGGTTTTCATTTTCTTTTTATGTTTCTCATGTGTGGAAACTTATGGGGCACCCTGCATATTCAAAAGGGAGCTTCAAAATAGCATAGTGGCTAGACAGCCTAGTGGTCATAGATCATGGCAGATTTTTAAACATTGATCTGGGCACTCAGCTTGAAATTGTCTAAAATGGGTACCAAGATTGTGATGATACTGGGTGTGTTTTTTCATTAGTTGTCTTATTGTGCTATTATATGTCACATAGGACCCCAGTCTGTTTCTCCATTCTGTTCTGTCCTGTGCAGTCACTTGGATATCGTGGATGGAATCCAGTCCAGCACCTCTGGAGTCTCTCATCAACATATTATGGCCTGGAGAGAATGAGGCACCTTGGTGTAACCAGAAGGTCTGGCCGGCTCACTACACTCAGAGGAAAGGCAAGACGGACATTTAACCAGATTGTGCTGGTACCATCAGTATTGAAACTCTGCGCTGGCTGCTGAAGATGAGGACAGAGCACTCATGGGAATGCCCTGAGTGCTGTGATGTAAATTCTTGACTCAACTCATTATTTGCCTTATGGTTTCTCTTGGACGTCTTCATTTCCTCAGTCCCTCTAGTGTCCACTTAAGTGCCTGTTTAGTATTTCTCTGTGTGTCTCCTCACCGAATGTTTCCACTATTGTCCCATCTTTTCTGACTTATACTGGTGATACAAGTGGTTGCCCAGAGATTTGTCTAATTTCTTCACTCTTCTTGAATTCATCCCTGATTATTTTCATCATTTTCCTCAGGAATTTGTTTTTTTTAATGCATTTAACTGTTTTTCATTATTTTAAGTGGTTCCCCAACTTCCACTGGCATATGTTAAAACTGAAATAACATTAGAATTGAAAATACGTAACTTGGTTTTGGGTGTGTTTATAAAATGAAATCATGATTATATTCCTGTATTTTAATATATTTAGTTTACATGTTTATTTAGATATCTTTAAGCAGTGTTTACACAATATACGTGTTATGTGCAAGAGATCTATTAAATGTTTTTGCTATTAAATTAGAAAAAGGATTTTTATTTTTCTGTTTACAATATTAGTGCGCCAAGTGTTTGGATAAAATTAAATAATGCATGCAATTTTGAGGTGTATGAATAAAAGAGGAAAAGCACACTCATATATATTCTTTATCAGTTTGTTCTTCTATCTTTCTCTCAAGACACAGTACAATTTTATTTGTGCGGGACTTTTCTGTTAAAATGTTCCCATTTAATTTTGCTCTATAATGGGCAGCTATTTTTACATGCTGTCACTTGATATGATTAGGTAATGTGTATGGGTGCGAATGCCGGATTTGGTAAAAACAGTGAGAGGAGAAGACAAATTTCTGTCTGTCTGATTATCAATAGTCACATGGGTAGTTTCACTGAGTTATCTCCCTGTGGGTTCAGAGCGCCATTTTGGATGGAGACAAAACTTGGCCAACTGCCCTACTAACAAGAGTGCATCTGCTTGAGAGGGGAGGAATCAACAGTCTGCCTACAAATAAGCTAGATCTGGATAATGGATCATCATCATCATCAGGTGCCTTGCCCACTGGCATGGGCGATCATGCCTCTCCACAATCTGCGATCTCTTGCAGATGTATCAGTTTATGTGCTGACACACCTCCATGCCATGCAACAAGACTGTCAAGAATCTTCTCTCGTCTTCCTCTATTCCTTCTTCCACAGATCTTTCCAGTGGTCACAACATGTTCCATTTTCCCTCTTCTCATAACATGGTCGAAAAATGATGACGTATCTCCTTCTGATGTATGTGATAAGTTTTCTTCGGGCTCCTGCCTCTTTCAAAACCACTTGGTTTTTTTGTGTGGCTGTCTCAGGTATTTTAACTGGATGTATTTCAAAAAATGCTAACCTTTTCATAGATTCTGTTCTTTTTTATGTTTTTGATTTATTTCAGCCGGTAATGCATCTTCCATCTGATGTGTACGTCCCTAACAAGCTTTTATTACACATTTAGGAAAAGAAGATTTCTTGTATACTGAGGCCCAATATACACAATTTGCGTTATGCAGACGATACAGTTTTGATAGCTGAAAATGCAATGCTCTGATGTTACAGTTGTTAAATACTGCTGCCAATACATATTGTCGAATCAATACTTTTTTCTTCTGAGTTTACAGCCGGTGTACGCTAAGAAGATTTTTGGACAATTACACAATTTTGCGTTATTACAGTTTTGATAGCTGAAAATGCAACTGATTTACAAAAACTGCTGATATTGTGAAAATGATGCTAAGAAAGGACTTTCATTTAATATTAAGAAAACTGAAGTAATGGTTATATTAAAGAAGACGATAACTCCACATTGTGATATCTCAATTGAAGGAAAAATACTTAACCAAGTCAATAAATTCAAATATCTGCGGACAATCATATGAGATGGAAAATGTATGACAGAGATGGAGAATAGGTCAAGTGAAAGCTGCAGTAAATCGCTCTCATTTAATGTCAGAAAGAGGGTGCTAAAATGTTTCATAGAACCTGTTTTGCTGTATGGCAGTGAATCTTGAAATGTCAGTGAACAATTTAAGAATTTGGAAGCAACAGAGATGTGGTTTCTGAGACAAATGTTGCAAATACTTTGGATGGCGAGAGTAACTAACAACGATTGCTTGAAAAAGCTAATGAAAGTAGATCTCTATATACAACAATAAGAAAGAGAAAAACACTGTTCTTTGGCTGCATTATAAGAAGAGAGACATTGGAAAACATCACCTGGAAAGATCAGTGAAAAGATGGGTAGAGGCAGACCAAGAGAGATGATGCTGGATAGGCTGAAACGATGGCATGGAGGGATATCATCAAGAGAGCTGTTCCAGGCAACCAGGGATCGTGATCTGTGGAGATGC